AGAGAGAGAGAGAGAGAGAGAGAGAGAGAGAGAGAGAGAGAGAGAGAGAGAGAGAGAGAGAGAGAGAGAGATGGAGAGAGAGTGAGAGGAGATGGGGGGAGACTGTTATACTGATTGTCTGATGAAAGTGGCCTTGGATGTATAGAGTAGGTGGCAGCAAGTGGTTATGGCAAGTACAACAAGCCGTGGGTTGGGAGGCTTGCTTTTTCGTCCATGAAGATCGTTCTCCCTTCTGTCTTTTGATTCTCTCTTTTCTTGCTTGTCTGTGTTTATATGTGAATTGCTGATATGTGGATGAGTTGCTGAGGTTGCAAAGTTGCTGCGGTTGTTTCGCAAAGGCGAGAGGGCCGTGAAAGTCTGTCTGTACTTTGATGTATGTATTCTGGTAAACTTTTGGCTGAGTTAACATCCACTTCACCCGCCGCCGACCGCACCTCCATTCGTGGATGAGAGCATTGACGACCTGGTACTTTGAAGGATATGCAAGCTATCATTGTTTGGACAGCTGGGGATTCCGCGGTACGCATGTGTTAGGGAACTGCTCCCGGTGGAGTTCAAACGAAGTCAGGTCTGCATTCTGTAAGTTCCAACGGTGTAGGTCTTCCGACTGAGCTGTTAACATGTGCAATGGTACTGGGTGGGGCGATCAGCGCTTCGGCGACTTCTTGGGTCCGAATTCACGGGCGCTCCGCGGAACCGGAATCGCAGTCGACCAGCTGCAGAAGGAAGTTCACTGCTGGCAAATTTGTCATGTTGCGATTTCCGGCGATCTGATGTGATGCGCTGTCGCAACCGGAGTCCATATGACTGTTCATGATGATGATGAGGAAGAGCAACATGGGTGAACCCTCCTCTGACAGTTCATACGACCGTTCATGATAGTTCATAGTAGTAGCTTCATACGACCGGTCATGATGTGGAGGAGGAGGAGCACGGGTGAACCCCCCCCTGACACTCTTTAGCTAGAACTTAGAAGCTTTTAGGTGCGCCTTTCTGGCAAATTTGTTATGTTGCGATTTTTGGCGAGCTGATGTGCTGCTCTGTCGCAACCGGAGTCCATATGACAGTTCATGATGATGATGAGGAGGAGGAGCAACACTGGTTATCCCCCTGACGCCGCTGACGGTCTTTCAGTTAGGAGGATTGTGTTTCGCTGAGCTCGCTGAGCTTTTACGGGTTCCCTTTCGTCCCTACTGTTGTGGCGGTGGTGTGGACGCGACCACGTGTATAAGAGGTATAAGCAAATTTGGCTTGCCATATAGTCATGCTTATGGAATGGCAACATAACCATGGGTCATCCTAAACAGAGCAGGAGATGGTTCGGGGGTTTTGGTGACAGGCGATGGCTGGGGCCCATGCTTTTTAATGTCCCAGTTGAGGGCTTCAGGTTGACGGACGTCGAAAATAGAATTAAGGTCCTCTCATTTTCTGTTGTGGCCCTTGTGGGGGTGTGTGTGTCCACCCCGACTGCAAGGCTAAAGGCAGTTTGTGGATTATCCCAATGGAGTAGTGGGGATAAGAAGGTAGTACTGCGCTTTTGCATCGTTTAGTTCAGGTTGTGCTTTTCCCAGAACACCCCAACCAATGTAATGAAATGCATAAGAATGTAGAGCTGCTCTTTTTTCTTTCTAAGAGGCTGTTAACGGCACCAATGAAGAGTTGTGGCCCCCCCTCCCCGCCCCCTTCCCGCCCCCCGTCCCCGAAAGACTTCCCATTGGTTGTTCGTTTGGGTCGGTCTTTTGCTTTTGTCGTTGGTTCAG